CTCTTTAACATAATCTCTTTTTTCTTTTAGATAATTAAAGCCACATTTAACATAAATTTGCAAAAATTCTTTATCCATGCAAAGCATTGTACATGGTGCATCTAATCTAACTGCTAATGTATTAAGAAAGAGACAGTCTCTCATAGTGATACACAGGATCAGTAGGTAAGGATACTTATGGCACTGATGCTTATGGCTGTGATAGTACAAAGAATGAAGCTTCACCAGGAAGTTTAATGCTGTCACACATCCTTCCTGTGAGTGTCATGCTTCCTGTTGACTCCCTTTCAAAGAGAGACAGGAATCCGTTGCAAGGGGTAAGGAAAAGAACAAAAGCAAGCTGGACTGAACCTGAGTTAATGCTGCCCTTAGACACATCATTTACAGTGATTGTCTAAAAAAACCCAAAAGACCACATATACCTCAAACCAGTTAATCAGCACAAAATATATAAAGCATAAAAAAAAGTCAAAGAAGTAAAATATATTAAATACTGTTTTCAGGTGTATGTTGTTCTCACCCTTCAAGGGCCTCCTAAAAAATTTCTAAAAAAATTCTTGATAGTATGTCTGCAAAACCCAGAGGTAAATCAGTTAGCCATAGAAGAGTTGCCTCTGGTATCAGCAGCAGTGTAGTGGCATGAGCGTGGGATTTCACCTGTTCCTGCCTAGAAGTCAGGCAATCAAGGCAGGACAGAGCACTGGGCAGAAGAGCTGGATTTAGAGTGGGCTCAATCGCATCTATACAGCATTGCATTGTACATTTACCCGACGTATTTTAAGTTTCCAGACACCCTTTAAATTGCTCCTTCAGTTTTTAAGGTAAGTCCTTAAGTTCTGCGTGTCAGAACTGCGCAGCCTACAGCTTGGGACTGACTTATAGCCCCTGGGCCCCTTAGTCTATCTGTTGTGAACTTAGAAAGAAGTGATCACACTTTTGGGTGAGGACATTGCAGGGAGGTGGCATGAAATGAAAAAACAGGCACTGTGTAGTGGGGATGAAGGAAGGCATGGTAAAGGGCAAATGGGGATAAACTAAAATTTTAGGGGTAAAAGCAAGAGACAGGAGGGGAGCTAAGAAGAATGTGATTGATGTGTGATGGCAGGGAGAAGCAAGAATTCAAGCTGTAGAAGTGGGATCCATATTAAAGATGTGGATACACTTAATAGGAAAGTGGGAAAGGGCTGGACTGGCATGGTGGAAGTGATGTGTATAAAGGCTTTTTACCCCTTGCCCCACAATCTCCATAACAAATTGGATGCACTGGATAAACTGAGTCCCATACTGTAGGAGCACTGAACTGGAGGAGGAAGGCATGGGAACAGGAGGCTACTGTCACTGTGCATAGATCTAACCAAACTGTAGGACTAAAATGCTAGCCATAGAGTAATAATGCAAAGCCGGGCATCTCCTCTGGTTGTGTAGTGCCCATGTTTAAAAATCTAGTTTCAGGCCTTGAGGAAAGAGAGTCGCTTTTCCAAAAGAAGCCAGCAACTGGTTGTCTTCAACAGCGCACCTGTGTTTTTGAGTTGTACATGTTTTCTCTACTTAGTCATCCACTGCTGCTTCCCGAATCTGCCATGTGCAGTCTTGCAAGAAGGGTAGTTGCTGAATATGCACATACCATTCTGCAGCTTTTAATTTTATTTCTTCCTTATAGTTTTCTTTAGATCTATACTTAACTAGAAGTGTTTCCAAACTGACAGAAGCAAACAGAAACTTCTCCATCCCTGCAAATTTGTCTTCCAGTTGCCACATGTAGCATGATCAGGTATTAATGGAGGTGCGCTTGTCACTGAAGAAGCAATGCTACTTGGAACAGTGCATAACAGGCCAATCAGAATTTAAAATAAAAAATAATAATAAAAAGAAAAGATAGCAGATCTCCATGACCTTTGATTTTAAGATAGGCACAGCACATCAATGTTTGCCGCTCCCTGGTACCCACACGGTGTTTGTGTCTTCCGGAATGGAGGATGAAAGATACAAACATTACTGATTCTTCACTGCTATGGGGTAATATTGCCTTACTTAGATCACATGAATTTCTTTCCAGGTAGCCTGCTAGCACAAGCACAAAAGCATGCTATCAGGCACCATGCCCATACTGGAGAGACTATACTGAAAGGAGGAGTATGAGGCATGAAATGCATGGAAGTGCTTCCTGTCTTCCTCAGCAAATAAAGAAGAGGTTCTCACAGCTCTTGTTCTTTCCCAAGTTCATTGTCAGTGATGTGCTTCTTCCCATTTTTGGAAGTCACTCTTGTTTACAGCTTGCCCTTGAACTGAGGGGTTCTTTTTTAGGTGAGTGGAAAAAGAACTGGTTTCTTATTCCAGTGAGGAATCATCTCATTATTTGCCATGACATTTTCCTATCTCTGTCTTCCCATCACAGGATGATTCTAGTTAAAATGTGTAGAAAGTCCCCTATGCTCCCACTTACATCTGCCTGCTAATATCCTTTGGTCTGTGAACCCCCAGGACAGGGCATTGAAGAAATCTAGTAGTTTATCGAGAAATGAGGTATGCCAGTAGAGGTAAAGAGTCTGGGAAGCATAGGGAAGCATATAGAGCAGAACTGAGAAAGTAAGGTGGTTGGGTTTTTTTCCCAGTGCTAGTACAAGAGGCAAATGAAGAAGACTAAGCTAGCCACTCATAATTCTAGTTTAGAAAAGGGAACAAAGTTCTTAAATGTGAGAACAGTGAGGACGTGGAACAGATTTAAAGCTGGAGAATTGGTGGGATACATGCAGCTTAAAAGGTTGATATACAAGGGAGCAAAGGGACCAAGACGGTCCTGCCCATTTATCTGTTCTTAGGAGTAGGGATGCTAAGTGCAAGACAGAAAATGAAAGACAATAATGAGGCATAAATGCGGAGACAGGAGGAGTGAGAGTGTGAAAGAATGAATGAATGAGTAGATTGATTTGCGCTGGAGGGGAAATTTTCAATGGAGTATTTGAAATAAGAGCATGTAAAACCCAAACTAAAATGTGCTTTGGGTTCAGACACTCATTTTGCACCACCATAAAAACACTGAATGTGTATCAGCACAGCTGATACACACATAGTGACAGAAGTTTACAGTGAAGATGCTTCAATTGTTTGGGTACCAGAAGAGTTCAAAAATCTAACAAATATTTTGCCAGCACATTTAAAAGCTAGTAAATAGCTAGTAAAAAGCTGAATACACTAGGATAAGCCAAAGCTAAAAGTTTGTTCTTTCAAGGCGAGACAGAGAATGAACAATTTCCTCCAGTAAGGGATGGTTTGGCTTATCATAAGTACCAGGGAGCAACAGTGATACAGTTGTGCAGTGGTTTGTGGAAACCAGAAGATTGAGGTTTGGTCACAAACTATTACAGTGCAAATGAAGTGCCTGTCTTCAAAAACACTGAAATCTTTCTGGCAGCATCAGGTGTGAAAGGGTAGAGAGAGGTCATGTATGACAAAGTTATTAATATACCTCAGAGTGCCTGGGATTCCAGTCAGTTTGGAGGCACTTTTTTTATAGTATCTAAAGGCTGAATCAACTCAAAGGACATTGTTTTATAATGATACAGCCTTTATGAAAGTCAGGTTGCTTTATTTATAAATATCTAGAGCCACACTGCACACACAGATTTCCAGCTGTACTGTGTCCCTAGCATTCACACTCAAATCAAATCATCAATGCATGCACAAGGAATTCTGCCATTCTATTTGATTTTCTTGAGCATGTGCCAGGGTGTTACATACATTTCTATCATGTTTTCTGCCTTCTATAGAGAAATATGCATTCATTAGAAATCCTTGTTACAGTGACTAAGCCTATGAGATCAGGGAATGTTGGGAATGCGAGAAAAAAAGATCAGTAATTGTTAAAAACGATATTTTTATTAGAAATTGCCCATCTTGTATAGCAGATAACAGAGGATCTTCACTGTAACAGCAAATCAAAGTGCGTACGTTAAGATTTCTAATCAAGTCGAGACAAGAAATACTGTAATATTGTTGTATTACTGCCAAAACTATAGATAGCAAGGGTGGGGTAAGAGAGGCACCTAATGAGGAAAATAATAGCAAGACCCTGAAGCGATGGCTGCTCCAGGTGGAGGCAGTGTGAAGGTGAGCAGCAGGCAGCTACAGATAAAATCAAGCACAACAGGAGACAGGGGAGAGGAATCCAGAGTAAAGGGAGTTTCCTCAAAATATTCCACTACCATTCTACAAGGTATATAGTATGTAACAATAAATTCCACATTTTAATGTACAAATGAAAACCTACATCAGGAAGCTGCTCCAGTATAGACCAGGTTGGATATTTTACCGTGGACAACTGTGAAACCAGCTTTTTCCATTTTAGATAAAGTTGATCTGGACTCATCTGTTCTTCAGCCATTAGATATACAGCGAAGGACAGTGTATCGGCTTGAAAAATGATTTAGGCTAACCAGTATTAGTTTCTTTCATGCAGAAGATAGTGTTGTGTTGTTACCAAGCAAGATAACTGGTGGTAAAAATTGCTGGTGGCATGTTGCCGGTCACTTAGGCCCACAAAAAAGGATTTGCCTCGTGACTTCAGACATCTATGAAATGGGTGATTAATCAGAGCTAGTCACCTGCCCTCCTTGCCAAGTCAGTAGAGAGCAGCCATCTCCTCACACCCACGTATGCCCTGCCTGTCCAGGCTGAGCGTGCCAGCTTGCGCCTCTGCGAAGTAGGAAATGTTAGCAGGCTCTCCAACATTACAAGTTATGTGAATGATGGGCAGGTGTGGTCCTGACAGTGGGCTCTGACTGGTGCAAGGGGTCAAGAGAGACACACCTTCATGTGTTTCAGTGAGAGAGGAGGATGCTTTCAAGTGCAGCGATCTGTGCCCCAGCAGCAGAGCGCTCACTGTTCGTTGTGCTTTCACCCTCCACATCTGCACCAACCCTCCATAAAGCAGCAGGGAAGATGGAACCCAGAATGTGGGTGAAGGCCTCACAGCTCTGCCAAACCCAGTCTGCTGAGGGTTATGTGCCAAAAGGAAAGGTCTCAAAGCTGCCTCCTAAATCTTAAACTGAGATTGCAAGGCTTGCCGTTAGAAGGCGTCAAAAAATATTCATCTCCATTTCATAAATGCAGCATCAGCCCAACAAAAATCACTGATTAATAAATTATCGATCCTGAAAGCAACATTTATACCCAGTCACTGTGTTTATATTGAGACCCATGTTTTGAACAATAAGTGAATTACTACCTTCATTCATTCTAAGCGTTATTTGGCCAAAAGAAATATATCATAGATGACAGTTCTTTACTCAGAGGGATGCACACTGGACAGTTACTTCATTTTAAAAAAATACCAACTGTGTAATTTTCAAAATGTAGAATATTTAAGGATTAGCTTTCTCTTCATTGGCAGATAAACAGTCTTTTCACATTGTATGAGTTACATTGGATTCAACAGGAGACATTAAACCTATAATGCTATATTTTAAAACATTTTCTTGTATTCTAACAATATAAAATAGATTTGGTGTTAATAAAATCCGGCACAACATTTTGATAAAACAAGAAAAGAAATACGTTAAACAATTAAAACCTATTTTTCATCTCTTAGTTTTCATATATTTTCTTACTATATTTGTGATGGATATAATGCTTAGAGTACTGGATATATTGCTTAGAGTACTTTTAGGCAGGACTTTGTGTTTAAATAACTTCATCTCTCTCCTCACTTTAAAGGATTTAAAATATTTTACTACCATTTAGCTCATTGAGAAGAGATTAGTAACCTCAGTGCATTGTAATTCCAGTCAAAGCACAATTAAGATAATAATTCTCAAGTCTGTATAACTCTTTACAGCATAGTTTCATAAATATTCTACAGAGTTACGAAACAATTAATAGATAACAATTTTCATGAAGTACTTGCTGACATTTTAATCCCCAGCTGTCACGGGGCAAGAGATGCCTCACAGAGATAGCACAATTGAGACACTGCTCAGGTGATTTATAAGTTGGCCCTGGTTCCTCCTGCTGGATTGTCATAGGATGTCCATGAAAAGGACAGTAACACGCATCGTTCTGTAGTAACCATCAAAGAAGCTGTATTTAGTGACATCTGCACCTATGGTCCTGCAGGTGAGGATTTTGAGTGCACGTGGGTTTAGAACAAGGAAGGAGCCAGAGAACTGATTTTGGAGGGAATGTTTTATTATCATCAGGGAAGTGCATTTTGCAAGGGCTTTGAAAGGCGATTAATAGCATTAAGACAACAACAACAACAAAAAAGACTTTTTATGTCATGACTGAAGAACCTGTAGACTAGGCTTTTTGTTTTAATCAGTGCCTTTTGTTTCTTTCCATCCTGGCTGCCAGCTTCATCCCACAGAGCAGGAGCTAGGATGTCTGTTCACAATTGTCTCACTGCATGGCTGGCAGGAGGTGCTGACGCTGAGCTGAAACCAATTCACAGCCTGCTTTTGGGAAGCAGATGCATGGATGTAATTATGCTAATCAGTGGACTTTTGCCCCTCCCACTTTTCTCAGCACTTCCAGATGCAGTACTTTTATTGTAATTGAAACAGTAATATGTGACATTAATTTTAATTTTCTGTGATACCCCCACAGTTGGTGTGTGTCTTCATAACTCAGGGCCCATTTTACAGATGACTCACATAGTAGTCAAAGTTATTAATTTGTTACAAGACTGCCTGGAATCCAAGATTTTACAGTGTTCCTACTTTGCTCACAGACTTAAAATCTGGAGCCGTTCATGTTGCTTATTAGTTGAGCAAAATAATTAGAAGTGTTAGTGTAACTATTGTTATTTAGGGCCCCGGGCCATGGCATTCCACGCTGGAGATTCAGTGGAGTCTCTTATCCCATCTGGGTGGCTCAGAGCTTCCAAGCCAGCCTTCATCTGGGCCAGGAAGTACCTTTCTTCATGAGAAGTCCCACAGGCTGTGATGGAGCAACAGAGGTACACCCCCATGCCACATGAGTCAGGACACCAGAATGTGCCCCTTAGGTGCTAATTAAAGTCCACTTCACATACAGGAATATACTTCCAATTAACATAGTAGCCCTGGAATGCATTGTGGGATGTGGAGAAGAGCAGGAGCTATTGCAAAAAAAAAGTAATCGGCACGTTTAAATAACAAGGCCCTTGTGATTAGTCTGTGTGGTCGTATGAATTATCCCACAGTAACCCAGCTCCAGGTTCCAAAATAGATAGTCATGTGAAGGTTTTCCCAGGACTTCCAAGAGCTGGGCTTCTCAACAGTCCAAAAATCTGAGGAAATTATGCTTTTTCAGTTTCCTTCTCTTGAGCTTCCCATGTCACTGCATGGTAAAGAGCCAAAATTACTGTCTTTTCAAAAAACTTGAGGAAAAATTTATAAAGGACAAAGAAATACATCATTCAGAATGGTGTCCTGGGGAAAAAAAAATCCAAAAACCTCCTTTCATGGGTAACCTCAAAGTTTATTTTTTTGTTTTGAAATTACTTCTTATTTTGGAATTTCACTTGGATTAGAGATCCAAAGAGTCTGCCAATTCAAGTCTCAGTTGTGATTCAGCTGTTACTCATCCATAAAATGAATAACTTTATGTCCTGTTTCTTAATTCTTAGAAGATTATAATGAATTTATCATTACCTTTCTTCATCCTTTCTCAAATACTAGCCAAAGCACTATTCAATAGGGAAATAAGGAGAGAGTCTATCTGAAAGACTCTGCTGAAGGCCAGGATGTTTATTTTTCTACAGAGAGCTACTGTATTTTGCTTTTATTCTACTTTGCTTAAGAAAACACTGTAGGCAAGCCTTTCCACCATTTTGCACCTAAAAGCTCTGAATCCTGTACCAAAGATCCAGTTCAATTAGAAAACCTCTGCCATCAAGTGATCCCCAGTGTGCCCATGACATTTGCAAGCAATAATCACATCAGACTCCATTTCCTGAAGCTACCTTCATTGCCTTCAGATGCCCTTAAATTCTGCTGTCTTCAAGTTATCTTGCAATGAATATTTATATAAAGCTGTGATTTCAATTGTGTCCACACTTTGTGATCTGTGCCAGAAAAATAAAGGGTCTCAACATCAAAGAAGGTTTTTCAGTTTAGCCATAGAGTGAGCACAAATACACTCTAAGATGTAGGTAGCTAGCAAAAGGGTGCTGGCCCTTACAGTTCATATGCTTTTTGTAAAATCACTTATTTTGACAAGTATTTAAACAAGCACATGATGACAGTACACAACAACTACTGAGTACCTTTGTATTGTTATCATGTCATCATGGTAAGCATAGAAAATGCTGTTGCCTCCAACGGCAAACAAGGAGCTCTTTAGTGAACTGCTACAGAAAGTCCTGCTCTCCCTCTTTTGACTTCTTGGTAAAGAGTCCTCTCAGAGACTCCATTAGTCTTCCCCTTTCAGGTCTTCCCAGAGCACTCTCAAAGAAACAGAACAAATCTCACTGCTGTAAAACCTTTGGACACAAACTATAAACAAGCAGCACAAAAATTGTGCCAAAAAGTATCCAGTTTTGAAAAATATTATCAGCATCCTGGAAACCAGAAGCCAGAATGAACCAGCCTTTAGCCTTGGTTAAATACACTGAGCTGAGGGAACTGATGGGCTGAATGAGAATAGATCATGAGCCCACAAAGACAAAAACATGTTTCACCCCCTCTGAAGAGGACATAGTTGGATGGATCTGCATATGTAGCAAGAAAAATAGAATTCTTTTGCAGTGCTCCAACAGTCTTCTCTTTCAATTATTTGCTTTACCTTGTCCTGTGATTTCTAACACTTTGGAGAAATTCATACTTGGAACACACAACTATATAATCAGGATTTTTGGAGAAGAGATTGATAAAATTAATAACAGATAAAAGAAAGCTTGAGAAGATTTCACATCTGAGAATGAAGAATCCAACTATTACAAAATCACAATGTATATTACCTATTCCTGAAAATCTTCCCAGTTGATCACTATGCTGAAAAATATGTGAAAATGTAAGCATGAGTGACTGTCAGCATCCCCGTGACACAGAATAAAAGTGATAAAATAGGTAAGAGTCTGCTTTGACACAAGGCATTGTGTTTGAAAGATGATTCCTGGTTTAATTTTGAGAGGGGAAGCCAAGCCTACACCCCATTTCATTTTATTGTACTGAGCAGTTGTATCCTTTTTATTCTTTACAGTGTCCTCTACCACACCAGTTTCATGAATGCAGGAACTGCATTCATTTTTGAGACTGGCTGCTGAGGGACAGAGATAATGAGGGCTGATAGGAACAGGTGGAGAAAATGGCCAGGATGTAGCAATTTAATAGATTTTATATAAAAATATAGCATGGCACTTAAGAGCTCCAGCTCTCAGCAATTAGTGAAAGGACAAGGTGATTACAGCCCTGTTATGGCAGATGTCTTCCTCTCTCAGTAGTCCCAGTGCCTGCACATACCTGCAGTACTGCACCAATTACCATCCTTTGCGACGAAAGCCCTTTCATTTGCATTGAATTAAGTCATTGCCCAGTTGCTTTTCCCACAAACACAGAAAAGTGCAGAGATGCTTAGAAAAAGAGAGGAAGGATACTTCCCATTTCCCAAAGAAGCAGAGACGGGCAAGTGAAACATCTAAGAAATGATGCTAAGTGTAAAACAATCCTGCCCTTCTACTTCTGTTTTCTTATTCCCACTGATCTGCACTGCTTCTCAAAACATAAACCTGCTCAATATAAGTATAACCACAGGATCAAGGACAGCAAAATATTAACAGCTGCACATTAACAATGACAGGCTAAGCCAATTAAGCCGTAATTAAAACACAGCATAGCCTGACAAAGGTGGCTTCATTAGAAGAATGACTATGGTGGAGGCTGTTTGCATACTCTGCCATGGGCCTGCAGGAGGAATGTCTGCCTTCTGTTAAGTCCCGGGTATTGGAGTGGTGTCACAAACAGGACCGTAGGGCTCCCAAGCAACACTTAATCTTGCCAGAGTGCTTTACAAATATGAGGCTAATCTCATGGCACCATGAGGAGGTAGGTGTTATCTCCTTCTGCCCAAAGTCAAATGACTTGTGTAGTTGTACACATAGAGTCTCCAGGGAAGGGCCAGAAAGAGAATACAGAATGTTGGGGTTTTTTTTGTCTTATCCTAATTGCTCCCTACTGAAACCATCATTAACTGCAGAACTCATTTTCTTTCCTCAAAAACTGAATGGTATAATTTGCCCTGAATGCCATGAATGCCAGATAGTGCCTTAAATGCAGCTGCTTCAATTCAGCACTGAGGAACATCTAGCATTTAAGGATTATTTTATTGCTTGTTGCCTACTATGGCTTCAACCAGGCTTTCCGTCTCAGACTGTAAAACTGGATTCATGTTACTATCCAAAACTGGCAGTGGCACAAACTAGTTTTACAAATCAGAAAAAAACTATTTTCCAGCTATTCCAGCTATTTTTGCTGAGCAGCGAAGAAAGTCCAACAGCAGCAAAATGTCTGCTTATGTAATCAGCTTCAGTTTACTGGGGCTGGGTGTTCATATGATTAGTTTAAAATATTTAATTAATGTTTATAAGAACCTCCCACAGGTTCTTAGTGCTCCATGTTGCACTTGAGTTGCCTTTCGTAGATAAGACTGTAAGAGAACAGCCCCATAACCATTTTGTAGAGAGGGAGACTGACCAATGTAAAAAAACCTCTTTCTTATACATTTATTGTAGCTCCTGTTTTATGAGTGCCTCTCTCTAACTGTTAAACAGCAGCTGTTTTCTTACAGGCACCACAGGAGAAAAGAGACTTGAAAACACATTACAAATAGATGAGATGACCTCAGGGGCTTCTTTCATGCAGAAGAGGATGCCAAAGAGGAAGGTGTTACGAAAGGAAAGGAGATAATAAAGTATCATCACAGATATCACATTTAAAAGGGCAGCAAGACATGTAACCTATTGTTATCAAATCTTAATCTTCCTGACAGGTGTTTGCTTAATAAGACACAAGGAGTTGTGGATTTTCAGTTCAGCTTAGAGTTAGTGAGGTCTTCACCAAGGTTGTGGGTTTGATCCCTGTATGGGCCATTCATTTAAGAGTTGGACTCAATGATCCTTGTGGGTCCCTTCCAACTCAGAATATTCTGTGATTCTGCGATCTGTGATTTTAACACAAGCTGTAGCACTTGCTTGAATTAATGCATTTCCCAGCCCCACAGCAGTAGCTGAAGCAGAAAAATCTCTTGGAAAAGTATTTCCTTTGGATTTTGAAGCTACTTGTGAATGAGAAGCAATCTTTGGCAACTTGTCCAGGTGTTATTTTCCTTTCCAGCTTAAAAGATTTACCAGGACAACACTGGTAAGCTTGTGTTATCCTTAAAACTTGTTTTTCACGCTCATTCTCCTTCTTGCTCGTTACTCTAATGGCACTTTCATAAACATCGCATTTCTTTCTGTGTATTCTCAGCCTGTGAAGATCTGCGCGAACTACACAACTGTCATAAATTATAGGAGTGCAGCTGAAGGCAGCAGTGGTAACATCAGGCCCTGCATACACAGTCCTATTTTTAAATTTCTGTTTTGTTGAGAAGGGAGGGGGTTTCCTGTGAGCATAACGAAGTGGGGCTTGGCTGCATGCTACAAATAATTTCTCATGCAAATTTTACCCAAGTCTGTGCTTATGGTTTGCTTATAGCCTTGAATGGAGAAAATAAAGTCAACCATATGGTACAATAGGTCATTATTTATAAATAAATATGTGATATGTCATCTTCATAACAAAAACCAAAAACCATAAAATAACTTTCTCCAGAGAAACAGACGTATGAAAATAATATACAACTGCAACACAGCTCTAACCCATCTAAGCCAGAATCTGTTGGAATCTCAAGGAATTTCCTCGCAGCCATCGGTGTGCACTGGGCCATGCTCAGGATTTTCTGAGCATCAGCTACTAAGAACCTCAACTATCCTGCTCCCCAAACACAGTTTTTGTAGTTTACTATAGTACATCAGTGAGATGCTCATCCCAAGACCTTATTATGTGACTCAAGAAACCATGGGAAACAATACTCTAAAATAATGTTTAATTTCATCATTGAATCTTTCCAATAAATGCAATGAGATTCAGTCATTCATTATCTACCCCAAAAGTGGATTAAAATGTGCCCACCACTGAAATAAAAACAAAGCTTTTAAGCTAATCTCAGTAATAAACCATCCAGTCATCTCTTTCAGGTCTGAAAATATATGTGCTGCAGTAAAAAAAAATATTATAATTGTTAATTAGCTCAGTATAGTTAATTGATGTGTTCTGCAGCATCCTTAGAATTTAAATTCT